CAGCATAGTCATCTGAAAGGAGGGGCAATGAACCCAGAGGGTCCAGACGGAACAAGTTCAGAATGAACCGCAGGTCCACACAGTCCCGTTTCGGCACTGAAAACAGATTGGAAACCCATCTGAGGGATGACGTCGTTTCGACGACGCCCAAGCGAACCCACTCCAAAACGACTCGACGGAGCGCAGGAGAAGAGGCCTGCCCCGCCCGCCCCAAACCCCCCTGAAGGGGAAGGGGCCACCCAACGCCAGCGCAGGCCGAAAGAAACGACCCGAAACACCCACAAATCGTGGAACCAGGCGTGAAGAAACAGCGCAAGCCTGCCTTCCATCGCCCTGTCAATGGGGCGAACCGCGAAAGGGCTGGCGGCCCTTACGAGACCCAGAACCCTGAACAGGGCAAACACGGCGCCAACCAGCCGAAGGCGGGACCGAAGGCAGAGCCAAGCCCGAACCTGACACCAGTGTCCTACCATGACGAGAGGAACCCTGAGCCCTGGCACGACCCCTCCGGGAAGGCTTCCCCCGGGACCCCCGGAGAACCAACAAGTCTGACATTGGACGGCAACTGGCCGATGCAGTCTGAATATACTGAGCCGGTGGCCGCCGGAGCAAAAAGCAGCGGACAAAAGGGCGAAGACATCCTAAGAGCCAGGGCCCAGGCCGATTCCAGAGAGGAAGCAAGCACTGCCTGTTGGCACGCGAGCCAGGAAGCATAAAACTGGGCACCCGCAAGATCGGTGCAAACAGCTTCAACAAGGTAGCCGACATGCGAGCAGCTGAGCCCAAGGCACCTGACCCCGGAACGGCCCCGAGCACCCCCACGTCCTCCCCAAGCCAGTCCGAAGACAGCTCCAGGAGGGAAAAGAAGTGCAAGGCTGAAGCCAAGAGGCCCCTGGCGCACAAATCCTTGGCCACCTGTGCAGCCGAAAGGGATAGAACCCTGCACATGGAGCTTCAGAACACCAACATCCCGAGAAAGGGCAGGAGCAAACAAGCACTCATTGAGGTGTTTAAGGTCGTCCCCCAGGAAAACCTGAACCACAGGAGAAACCTCGTGCCACTCAAGTGTGCAAAAACAACAGAAAGAATGCCAGGCCTCCAAGGCAAAGATAGGACAGTCTGCCAGCCAGGATGACTCCAGAACCTCATAACAGACCCAGAAAGAGAACGAAGTCCCAAACCTGAAGGATGACGGATCCATCACCGAGGCAAAATCCGGGTCACGCAAGAAGCAAGCCGCAAGGGCCGCCCGCACCGCAGTCGGTTGGATGCGGGAAGCCGAAAACCCTCCGGAAAGACGGAACCGACGCCCCGAAGGGGACATGGAACCATGGGGGAGAAAAGAGAACCCCACTCCTTGTAACAATAAGCCCAGCTCCGAGGGTAGAAAAACCCAGTCAGGGTCCAGCGGGGCCCAAGGCCCCCAAGTCAGCCCCTCCCCAGCTGCAGGATCCCCCTCCGAGGGACCCAGGGCAGAGTCCTCCCCCAGAGCACCAGTCCCTAAAGAAAAAGCCGGCGCAGCCGAATAAGCCGAACAGAAGGGGGTCCACTGGTCAGACCCAGAGGCTTTGGCTGAGAGAGCGGACTCGAAGGCCTCCGTCACCTCACCAGAAGGGGCATTCCCCGAGACCGCCTGAGACTCAAGACCATCTAAACTCCTGCCCCGACTCAGAAACCCTCACATGTTTCGGAGCCGGAAGCAGGGGGGAGGGGGGGGGAGGCCAGAATGTACCGCATAAGGGGAAGGACGAGGGGACGCAGACTGAACCAAGGTCGAAGAAACCCCCACCTCCAAGACAGAGTCCCTATAAGCAAAACGGGGCAGCCTCGGGGCATCCGGGTGAGCAACCAACCTAGCGCATTGCAACAACCTAAAACACGCATGCAATGCCTGCGCCGCCTGTACCCGCAAAAGATCATCAATGGACTGAGTAAATTGAGTCACAAGCAAGCAACAGTACTCACAGGACTCAAGAATCGAGTGTCACCGGCCCAACAGGCAGCGTAACGGAGGCAAAAACCGTGAGGGTCACCCTGAGTCAAGGGGATCGAGCAACCCTCAAAATTGCACTAAGCGAGGGGAAGGCTCCGGGGACACATCCATCGAACCCACGCATCCCCTTGGGGATTCCCAGGGTCTTGAGTACTTACTATAAGAGGACTCGCGCCCACGTAAGCCCAGGCAGGGTACTGCTAACCGGCGCCCAAAACTACCAAACAACAAACTAAAAGTTGAACCCCAGGAACGTGTACACTCATGGGGACCTAGCAGGGGGACACCACCAGAGAACCGCAATAGGTCAAGCGCAAGTGGGCAATAAGCAGGGCACATCCCCCCCCCCTGTGGGGAGATCTGCCCTGCTTATTGAAAACAAAAAGAAAAACAAAACCCTGCAAGAGGACAACGCACCCCAAGGAACAAAGCAGGTCGCCGTGAATGGTGACAACTAGCTGCGCAGTACCCTGCGCCCCACCAGTGCAAACTGCCTCCTACCCTAAGGTAAACAAGGAAGACAAAACCCCCATGCATCCAAAAGGCAGCCGAAAAACCGAGCAGTCAGATGGCCTTGCAAAGGCAGGCCTTGAGGAACTTGTGGAAGGCGGTACTTACAGGGCAGTACTTACAGGGCACCTAGGGATGATAACCCTAGGCGCATGCGGCCCGAGTACTGTGGAATAACTCCTGGCTCTCGCACCCCTGGAAGACAGCCACCACACAACCAGTACAGCGCTGAAAAACTCTGGAGCCAAACACACGACCTCTGCCTCTAGCATCAACACAAGCAACCGTCAAATTTTTCAAAAGAACGGACAGCAAAGGCAGAGAAACAGACAATCTGGACCAAAAGAATAAAACCAGTTTGTGCATATGAGCACGAAGCACACCACCCCAACAACCAAAAGCGAGGACCAACAAGAAAACAGCCATAAAAGATATCCTGGACTGAAGAGGTAGACAAAAATGAGGCTACAATTGAGAGAAAGAACCCAATCCGGACAACCACGAAGGTTCTTCATAAGAATGACCTACCCATAGGTGAACAATCACTTGAGAGAACCTTAGAGAAAGCGAAGATGGGTCATCGACACCAAACGCTAACAAGAAAAAGCTATGCCAAAGCCAAAATGTAAGAGGCAACTGTATTTAGCATCAGCAGATGGGCAACCTGATGCCAAATATAAGTGGCCCTACAGCCACACCAGGCAGACCCCCATCAGGCAAATTAAAAAAAGAAAAAAAATACCACAAAAGCACAACGTCCCGAGGGGAACAGAACTGGCCACTATGCGTCTATCAGACAGCTGCACAAAACCTTGCGTCCCAGCCAGCAACAATGCTACCTCCTATCCAATGTCAAACAGGAGTAAGAACAACTCCAGCTGACCCCAAGGGCGGGCAATCACCGAGCAGTAAATGAAACACACGCAGTCCCGAACAGCCTATGGAAGATAACCCTAAACCGCAAGGGCAGTACTTACAGGGCACTTAGGGAAGGTGGCCCTAGGTGCATGCAGGCCCAGTACTCTAGTGTTACATCTGGCTCGCATACCACCACACAGAAGAACAAAACTGCTATGGACAGCCCTGCTCAAAAGGATGAAGCCAATCTATTGACCACCACCAAACACAACAGCCTCAGAACTGAGGTTAGGTAGCCGGTGTGAGGAGGTCAGGGCTCCCCCCTCCCCCTCCCAAGGAGAGGGTAGTTGAGCAGAGAGCGGCACGGTGGCTGTGGTGACATCATGCTTGTTTGCTTGTTCTTGATTGGGGAGTTCTGCTTGCTAGTTTGGCTTTTGGTTTGCAATTTTTAACCAGCTGTAGTTTGTTTTGGAATTCCCACCTTTCTGGGTGCCTGAACTGGTAGATGGCAGACATAGACTGCTTCCAATTACACGAGGGTGTCTATAGGCCATTGCTCCTCCGGGGAGGGAGGTTCTTATGGCCCTGGGAAGCCAGGTTCTGGCACTGGTCCCTGGAAGGCCTAAACTCCATCGATTGACTTGCCATGGTCTAATATATACACATAAGCCCAGTATAGGTCCGGGGAGCCGAAGGGGCTCTCCTCAGAAAATGCTAAAAAAGGATGGAAACGTAACTAAAGAACCTCACCAAACATTTCCAAATCTTCCATAAACAATCCAAGGCCTAAAACACAATATTTTAGGACAAGCTTAAAATATGTACTGTATGTGCTGTACTAGTCCTGGGTAAGTTTAGATATTTTTTTGTGTGTCTTCTACAAAATTAATAGTACAAAGCATGAACATTGTTAGCAGCAAAAGTACTCATTTTTATATTCTATCAAATAGTTACTATAATCACTATAATGTTAGTCTTTGTGACAGAGTGGTAAAACACTCGTTCCTGTGCTTCTTGAGCGATTTGGCCTTGGTTCTTATCCTGGCTAGGAGGATTAACTAGGTGCCAATCACCCAGCAGTGAATGGGTATCTGGCTGTTAAACAATTTGGTGGGTCGTATTCCTGGGGAAAATTAGAATTATAGCCCTGCCCGAAACTCTGTGTGTGCAAGTGGCTTTACGAAAATGTAAGAACTCTTGTATATACTGTATATATATAACAAAAAATAATATAAATTAAATGTTAGGAGGGTTTGGAAGATGCCGTGTGGGTAGCTCAGGGACCCACTAAGGAACAAACCATATTGGGAGGATGGGTCGAGTTTGGAAGATGCCGTGTGGGTAGCTCAGGGACCCACTAAGGAACAAACCATATTGGGAGGATGGGTCGAGTTTGGAAGATGCCAGGTGGGTAGCTCAGGGACCCACTAAGGGTCCCTGAAAAATAAAATGTCCGAAGATAAATCATTGAGCTAAACATCAAAGACCAATTTAAACCTTACAATTATAGTAATTTACAAAAATTATTATGACACAGCAGTGTTACAGTGACAAATTATAGTGACAAACGAGAAGTTACAAAATGGAAATGATGATGAAATTATAATGGCAATAGTGAATGATTGGGTGATGATGCAAGGGATGGATAAAGGAAATTTGTGATAACAGATTGGTGATGGTGACATGGTAATGACGGGACAGAAGCAATGGTTATACAGAAGTCAAAATGGCGGGGTGGAATAGTGAATTAGAAAGGCAGTACAACGCCACAGTCCACCACCGTCACCTCCCTGATGTCTTTGAGACGAACTGCTAACCTCACTAGCTCCAGGCCGTTCTCCACATGACCAAAGACACGTGGCCACTTTCGACCACAGGCCACATCCCGGGTTGTGATGCTGAACTGGGCACTGCGGGCACTGCCCAGACCCCACGGTGACCACACTGCACCCGATTCTCCACATTCTAAAGTCTCGCCCTGCAGGTCAGGCAGCAGCGAGGCTCCTCCCTTTCCATCATTAAACTCATAGTCTCCACCCACAATGTACTCCCCTGCCCGACCCCTGGACAACACCTGTGTAAGTCTGGTGTTCACGTATGAGTGGCCTAACTGACCCGTACACAACAACAAAAATTGTCTGGCCAATCTCGTGTCGGGGCACAACTGGATTTGGACCCGCCCTTGTGTTGACCCCGCCCATGCCAGGTCAAGAAACACCTGTGTGGCAGGATCCAGCATGGCCAACACATCTATAAACTGTATAAAAATAATGATCATTCATTAAAATATTAACATACAGTATTGGCTATTAAAATATGCTAATTATCCTGCAAACATATCAGCAAATAAAAATCAAGAATTTCAATAAAACAGTTTAGTTTAACAAATTACCTGGATGATGTGGGCATTGGGAGGCAAAGACTGGCACAAGAGTGCATGGAGGAACAGCTGTTCATCATGAAAGGTGATCCTGGCGGAGTGGTAGATGCCCTCAACATCCCGCAGGACAGCGTACACCAGGCCTTCCTCAACCAACTTCTTAACTGGCTCCTCCATACCACTCAGCTCCTTAATCTGTGGAGAGTGTCAGCAACATTATCATCTGTGGAGTGTGTCAGCAACATTATCATCTGTGAACAGTGTCAGCAACATTATCATCTGTGAACAGTGTCAGCAACATTATCATCTGTGAACAGTGTCAGCAACATTATCATCTGTGAACAGTGTCAGCAACATTATCATCTGTGAACAGTGTCAGCAACATTATCATCTGTGGAGAGTGTCAGCAACATTATCATCTGTGAACAGTGTCAGCAACATTATCATCTGTGGAGTGTGTCAGCAACATTATCATCTTTGAACAGTGTCAGCAACATTATCATCTGTGAACGGTGTCAGCAACATTATCATCTGTGAACGGTGTCAGCAACATTATCATCTGTGAACGGTGTCAGCAACATTATCATCTGTGGACGGTGTCAGCAACATTATCATCTGTGGACGGTGTCAGCAGCATGCCACACATGGACAGTGTCAGCTGCATGCCACATGCGGACAGTGTCAGTTGCATGCCACACGTGGACAGTGTCAGTTGCATGCCACACGTGGACAGTGTCAGCTGCATGCCACACATGGACAGTGTCAGCAGCATGCCACATGCGGACAGTGTCAGCTGCATGCCACATGCGGACAGTGTCAGCAGCATGCCACATGCAGACAGTGTCAGTTGCATGCCACACGTGGACAGTGTCAGCTGCATGCCACACGTGGACAGTGTCAGCAGCATGCCACATGCAGACAGTGTCAGTTGCATGCCACACGTGGACAGTGTCAGCTGCATGCCACACGTGGACAGTGTCAGCTGCATGCCACACGTGGACAGTGTCAGCAGCATGCCACATGCAGACAGTGTCAGTTGCATGCCACACGTGGACAGTGTCAGCTGCATGCCACACGTGGACAGTGTCAGCTGCATGCCACACGTGGACAGTGTCAGCTGCATGCCACACGTGGACAGTGTCAGCTGCATGCCACACGTGGACAGTGTCAGCTGCATGCCACACGTGGACAGTGTCAGCTGCATGTCACACGTGGACAGTGTCAGCTGCATGCCACACGTGGACAGTGTCAGCTGCATGCCACACGCGGACAGTGTCAGCTGCATGCCACACGTGGACAGTGTCAGCTGCATGCCACACGTGGACAGTGTCAGCTGCATGCCACACGTGGACAGTGTCAGCTGCATGCCACACGTGGACAGTGTCAGCTGCATGCCACACGTGGACAGTGTCAGCTGCATGCCACATGTGGACAGTGTCAGCTGCATGCCACACGTGGACAGTGTCAGCTGCATGCCACACGTGGACAGTGTCAGCTGCATGCCACATGTGGACAGTGTCAGCTGTATGCCACATGTGGACAGTGTCAGCTGTATGCCACATGTGGACAGTGTCAGTTGCATGCCACACGTGGACAGTGTCAGCTGCATGCCACACGTGGACAGTGTCAGCTGCATGCCACACGTGGACAGTGTCAGCTGCATGCCACACGTGGACAGTGTCAGCTGCATGCCACATGTGGACAGTGTCAGCTGCATGCCACATGTGGACAGTGTCAGCTGCATGCCACATGTGGACAGTGTCAGCTGCATGCCACATGTGGACAGTGTCAGCTGCATGCCACATGTGGACAGTGTCAGTTGCATGCCACATGTGGACAGTGTCAGCTGCATGCCACATGTGGACAGTGTCAGTTGCATGCCACATGTGGACAGTGTCAGCTGTATGCCACACGTGGACAGTGTCAGCTGCATGCCACATGTGGACAGTGTCAGCTGCATGCCACATGTGGACTTACCTAGTGTAGTTACAGGATGAGAGCTACGCTCGTGGTGTCCCGTCTTCCCAGCACTCTTTGTCATATAACGCTTTGAAACTACTGACGGTCTTGGCCTCCACCACCTTCTCACTTAACTTGTTCCAACCGTCTACCACTCTATTTGCGAAGGTGAATTTTCTTATATTTCTTCGGCATCTGTGTTTAGCTAGTTTAAATCTATGGCCTCTTGTTCTTGAAGTTCCAGGTCTCAGGAAGTCTTCCCTGGACAATTCCTGTTACTATTTTGTACGTAGTGATCATATCACCTCTTTTTCTTCTGTCTTCTAGTTTTGGCATATTTAATGCTTCTAACCTCTCCTCGTAGCTCTTGCCCTTCAGTTCTGGGAGCCACTTAGTAGCATGTCTTTGCACCTTTTCCAGTTTGTTGATGTGCTTCTTAAGATATGGGCACCACACAACAGCTGCATATTCTAGCTTTGGCCTAACAAAAGTCATGAACAATTTCTTTAGTATATCGCCATCCATGTATTTAAATGCAATTCTGAAGTTAGAAAGCATTGCATAGGCTCCTTGCACAATATTCTTAATGTGGTCCTCAGGTGATAGTTTTCTATCTAGAACCACTCCTAGATCTCTTTCTTTATCAGAATTCTTTAAAGATTTCTCACATAATATATAGTTGTGTGGGGTCTATGTTCTCCTATTCCACATTCCATAACATGACATTTATTAACATTAAATTCCATTTGCCAAGTGGTGCTCCATATACATTTTGCCACATGTGGACAGTGTCAGCTGCATGCCACATGTGGACAGTGTCAGTTGCATGCCACATGTGGACAGTGTCAGCTGTATGCCACACGTAATTACCTAAGTGTAGTTACAGTATGAGAGCTACGCTCGTGGTGTCCCGTCTTCCCAGCACTCTTTGTCATATAACGCTCTGAAACTACTGACGGTCTTGGCCTCTACCACCTTCTCACCTAGCTTGTTCCAACCGTCTACCACTCTGTTTGCGAAAGTGAATTTTCTTATATTTCTTCAGCATCTGTGTTTAGCTAGTTTAAATCTATGACCTCTTGTTCTTAAAGTTCCAGGTCTCAGGAAATCTTCCCTATCGTTTTTATCAATTTCTGTTACTATTTTGTATGTAGTGATCATATCACCTCTTTTTCTTCTGTCTTCTAGTTTTGGCATATTTAATGCTTCTAACCTCTCCTCGTAGCTCTTGCCCTTCAGTTCTGGGAGCCACTTAGTAGCATGTCTTTGCACCTTTTCCAGTTTGTTGATGTGCTTCTTAAGATATGGGCACCACACAACAGCTGCATATTCTAGTTTTGGCCTAACAAAAGTCGTGAACAATTTCTTTAGTATATCGCCATCCATGTATTTAAAAGCAATTCTGAAGTTAGAAAGCGTGGCATAGGCTCCTGGCACAATATTCTTTATGTGGTCCTCAGGTGATAGTTTTCTATCTAGAACCACCCCTAGATCTCTTTCTTTATCAGAATTCTTTAAAAATTTCTCACATAATATATAGGTTGTGTGAGGGCTATGTTCTCCTATTCCACATTCCATAACATGACATTTATTAACATTAAATTCTATTTGCCACATGTACAGTGTCAGCTGCATGCCACACTTGGACAGTGTCAGCTGCATGCCACATGCGTACAGTGTCATCAGAATGCCACATGTGGACAGTGTCAGCAGCATGCAACACATGGACAGTGTCAGCAACATGCCACATGTGGACAGTGTCAGCAGCATGCCACACATGGACAGTGTCAGCTGCATGACACATGTGGACAGCGTCAGCAACATGCCACATGCGTATAGTGTCAGCTGCATGCCACACGTGGACAGTGTCAGCTGCATGCCACACATGTACAGTGTCAACTGTATGCCACACGCGTACAGTGTCAGCTGCATTCCACATGTGTACAGTGTCAGCTGCATGCCCACACTTGGACAGCGTCAGCAACATGCTACACATGGACAGCGTCAGCAGCATGCCACACTTGTATAGTGTCAGTGTCAGCAACATTATTTATATGTAGTCTCTTTCAAGAGTTGTACTCTCAAAGTCATAGTCAAGCCATTGTGCTGCGAGGTTTTTATTTTGACAATCTGGTGATGCGACAAAATTGAAGTGCTCAGAAATCTTTTTATTTCTTTCGATATTGCTAAAATCCCTTCCCTAAACATGTACATGTAAAAAGAAATATACAAAAACCTATGTTGAATGTAACGAAATCCCATTTTCTGAGTAAGCCCATGAGCCAGCCGCACTCTTTCCAGTTTGGAGACTGAGCAAACAGAAGAAAAAAATGCTGACTGTTGGGAGGGAGGGAGGGTGCCAGGGAGCCTCCTGGGGCTCCCTGGCACCCTCCCTCCCTCCCTCCCTGTAATGGCGTTTCATTACATTCAACACTGGTTTTCTGTGGAGAGTCTTGTCAGCTCCCTGGAGCTAGATATTCAGAAATAAGTAAAAAGCGGGACTTACTCCGGGAGACGGCAGCACTGCGTGCCTCATGATGAAGACGGTACAACTGGCTGCAACCAACAGCCCAAGACCACACAGAAGAAACTTGGTAATTGGACCCATCCTGTTTCTAATATATGTAAACGATCTTCCGGAGGGTATAGACTCATTCCTCTCAATGTTTGCTGATGATGCAAAAAACCAGCGTTGAATGTTATGAAACGACATTTTCTGGGTGAGTCCCGGAGGCTCCCCGGAGCTATCCAGGCTGAATGGATATGTATAACTTTCTGGCATCAGTCAAAGTGCTAGGAGTTCTTGCCTACTGGGGACCACGAGCCAGAACCTGGCCCCCTCAGAGTGGCACGAGGAGCAATGGCCTATAGAAACCCCCTTGTGATTGGGAGCATTCTATGTCTGCCATCGACCGGGACAGGCATCCAGAAAGTTAGGCGCCCCAAAACAAACCCCAATTGTGGTGAAATTATTGCTACTGAAAGCCGAACGAGAGGACAAAACTCCCCAAACAAAATGATCAAACTAGCATGACGTCATCACGTCATCACGTCGCCGCGCCACCGTCTGCGCAACCCCCCCACCTCCCCGAGAGGGGGAAGGGGGAGCCCCAGACCCTCCACACCGGCGATCCAACTGGCAGTTCTTAGGTTGGATGTCAAAATACGCGAAAAATGCCGCCGACCGGAGGGAGGGAGGGATGTAGGGGAGCCTCCGAGACTCACACAGAAAATGG